CAGAGNCGCCCTCATACGCACCTTCCAGAGCCGAATCGCGTTACTCGGACATGGAACCTAAGCCGAAGGAGAAGAAGAAGCGATCCAGCCGTTTGCGTTTGATGTTCACTGCTTGATTTCTACACCTCTATATTTTTTAAACGACAGATCGACACTTTACGACATGTATATAATATTGTATACTGCGATTCCGGATAACATTACGACAGGATGGATATTTGCTTGGCGCAATTAGAATTAGCGAAGTTTCTTCATTCTTTGACTTATGATCGGTGGTGATTTGTGTCTTTCTCCTGACTATCATTTGACATGATACAGTTGCACATTTGGCGTTTGATACCACTCCTTATGCATGTAGAATGCCTCTGATGTTGATATTCTTTTTATCAAGATGCATATACTCGGACTGTGACAGTCTACCATGGAACACTTGACATAAGTGAAAAGTTCATACTGAAAATGGAAGTTCATACTATACATAGTGAATTTGTATTCATCTTGAGTGTCTGTTTGAGTTTATGTTTTCCAGTACTCAGTATTTACCGCGATTCCCAGAACAGGCCCATCCTAGCCCATCGATAGGACACAACAATGGAAAGCATCTCCTGCTATTAGGTCTACTGAGCCCCTGGGAAGGATAGAAGCCGGATGATAGTAACACTCACATAGTAGACTGTGTCTCCTCCTATATTTCTTCTGATACAAGACTCTCAAAAGGGTTTGGTAGAGATGGCTCAGTTCTTACTGTATCATCAGATTGCGCACTTCTCTTTTTCATTCCTGCTAATGCAATGCCTGAGAACAGCTGTATCTCATATAGTAGTGCCCATTCTCTTACGACGACGATAAAACTAATAGTAACCAAAATATTACACACAATGGTGATAATATTGTTCCATATCGTCATCACGAGTTATGAATACTTTCCTAGGGTATAACTGATCGTTATATCCCGGTAACTATAGTGTACGGATAATTACAGATCTATCATTCTCCGAGAAGTGGGGGAAGAAATAACCGGGCAAGAAACTGGAAGTTTCCTAGTATGTATGGAATATGTAGATAGTATAGGCTGCCAGTAGTTACTGCCATTACTACTCCAGTTTAAAAGGGAAAGAAACAAATAATGAGACTTGACTGAGTTTGGCCTCAATTTTGGATCTGATAGACCTGCCTATCGGTCTGTGATTTTTTGGCCAGTCGAGAGGTGGGGTTCATGGTTTATGGACTAGGATTTACTAGTAGTCGTAGTCTAGTGACAGGAATACTGCAGAGTAGTGGGTTAGTGGGGCTACTATGTGGTGGTGGAAGTAAGTACTTCGGCTGGTGTGTTGCCGGTATACTCTTGGGTTTCTTTGTCCCTTGGATGAAGGGGGAACTCGTTTAGCTGGATTAAAACGGGATGGATATACGGCGATTCATACCTGTTGTCACTACTATACTATTTGTAGGAGGTACATAGGTAGTGGTGCTGTCGTGGCTTTGAGTTGGGCGTATGGTGCTACTTGTAGTGCTTGGTATGATATCCTTGTAATCTTACTCTCTATAACTAGGCTGGTAGTGGCTAGTTGTCATCTTCCAGTGATATAATATGTATTTCCTATCAATGAGATTAATACTGCCTTGGTGTATTGTCTTATAGGCTTCGGTGATTGCCGCGTTTGGTTTTGAACAGGATGGGTGGACTATGTTATCACATACCAAAGTAGGTGATTGCTAATTGGAAAAGTCCGGTCACAATACAACTTTTCTGGAAGTTGAGAATATCACTAATATGAGCATGTATTACTCTGAGAGACGAGCTATGAGCGTCAATAGCTTTGCACCTCCATTTTGGGCCAGTGAGAACACAGAAGGAGGACAAAGCTGCGACGTAGGGGTTTGCAGTCAAAGGGCATTATATTGTCTCCGGAGAGGAGAGTATATTGTGGATGAGTTTATAGCATTTCAACAGGAACAACAATCCCACCTTACCTGCTCCCTGGATGTAGAGGCAAGTATAGAAGCCATGCCTGTGTAAGGGAATGGAAGAAGGGGGCTGGTGAATCTATATAGTTAGTATGAGCTATGCAGCAAGTGAGGTTCCCATTGGCTCATGCAAGGACTGTGAGTTGCTTCATTTTCAAAGATGATCTCCCTGCAGTTGGCGACCTCAGTTGGCGGTTGGTAGTCTACCAGGTCATGCCGAGTTAATGGACAAAGCAATGTGCAGGAGATTATTCTGGAAGAGGCATCAACAATAGTATGATTGGTGGGTCGGTGACTATAAACTTTGGGCGGAACAGTCAAGCACGTTTACGCGGCTGTTGTTGTTTCCGCAGCTTGCCGACCGATGCCCTGGCGCTGGACGGCAGGGATGAACCTAGTTCTGGATGCAGGTACTGCAAGGTCGTCTATGGTGAGTAAGTTGTTATCTAAATGATATCAAGAGGATTGAGCAGGGAGTCGACCCAGTTTTACCCCCCTCTAGAAATCTCGTTATCAATTATCAAGTCGGATCCCAACAAGATGTTTGCGGTAAACAGTCCGATATCGGTCAGGTCTCCGGGGCGTTAAGAGCATCTGCAACAGACGCAAAACACAAAATTCCAGGTTACACATTCCTCGTATCCGTTGGAGGCAATCTCATCACACTGCCTCATGGGGTAGGCTTCGAGAACAATAGTGTAAAGCTAGAGGGCGCTCCTCATGCGTGGGTTGCATATGGTATGCACTAGGCAGCTCATCACCTAACAGTAGTTTCAGCTTCGGCTGAGCGTTGCATTTCAGCTCGGCAATCATTTCGTAAGACCGGCAAAGGACAGCACAGCAGGTATCAGAGAGAGATTGAAAAGGAAGGAGGAGGAGGAGAGGAGATGACGATCCTACCGTTCAACCCACTGAGTAGATAGTCGGAGTATCAGGACTGAGGATGACTGTAGTCTGGAACAAAGGCATTATGGAAGGGCAATCGGCAATGGGAGGGCCAGGCGTTTGCCGCACGAGGGCGAGAGAAGCGAAGACGGAAACAGTGGAGAAAAGGCGGCGTGAGCAAACAATTTTGGAGGCCGGCAAATGAAGGCGGGCGAACAGCCGGCTTTGCATTGTTTGCAATCTCAAATCATGCCCCGTGATTGGCTCCCCAGGAAAACCGTTTGGCCATTTGCCCGTTTTCTGCCTCAGCGCCTTCGCTGGCCTGCCTTGCAGCTCAACGAGAAGACTAAGATTTCTGGTCTTACTAACCTCCTGTACACAATGCAGCGCACTAATTTGACATCATGCATCCTTAGTATCAGGTGGAGCCTCGCGCCCACCACTTCCGGGGTCGACATGACCCTCGCGGATGGTTGGCCTGCTCCTCCTCCTTTACTAGCCATCCAGGTCTCAATATTGGTCCAATGATGCGCTTCTGGTCTGACCTATACTCACCGGGGTTGTGGAGGGCTGGTCTGGTCTTGCTTCCCTCGGTGGAGAAGCGATCTGGGGGGGTTCGCGTCCTGCCGTCATTTCCGGCTGGAGGGAGTAAGGACAACCGAAGTCTGAGCCTGACTCTAGAATTATTTATCAGGAGCGTGCTTGCCCATCTTGACTTTCTCTGTTGTTGCTATTGTTATTGTCAATCTCATCAATCTATCAGTGTTTTCAATGAACTCCCGTACCTGAGTGGCGAACCCTCATTTATCCACGGATATTGTACGGCCCAAATTTGCCCTTAGCCTAGGACCTCCGAATTTTTCCCCAAATTTTTAAATCTTTATTTTTTCTTATAACTCCGGCCCTCTCTTTCGCTTCCTTTATCATTTTGATTTCCATTTCCTTGTAATCCAACCTCTTTGTCAGAACCTTTGGATTCATTCGCGATTATGGAGCAAGCAAAGACTCCTCTGCAGGTGATTGTGGTTGGGTAAGATCAAACCATCCTGTCATCTGAGACTATGTATTGTTACTGACGTTACCATATAGTGCCGGTAGGACAACTGTCTCATAGACTTGATAGCGAATGAAGCATGTAACTAATGAAATCAGGCATTGGCGGCATGGCTGCGGCCCTGACCCTGGGTCTGCGAGGACATCATGTTACCATCCTCGAGTCCGCTCCCAAGGTGCGTATACCACTCCATGCTATGATACATAGTGCTGACTGACCTCTCGTAGCTCATGGAAGTTGGTGCTGGTATTCAAGTCTCACCGAATATGCTGACACTGTTTGACCGTAAGCGCCCCTTACTTCTCCTGTTACTCAACCCCATCTGATGATATGACTCAGGGTGGGGCGTCTCCCCGTTGATCCACGCCCAGGATGTTGCCCTCGAGCACATTCATGTAAGACGGTGGGAGGATGGCAGCATGCTTGGCACCTTGCCAGTGAACAAGACCTACGGCCAACAGACTGTCATTCACCGCGCAGACCTCCACAACGCCCTCATCGAAAAGGCGCTGGCGCTGTCGAATGTGGAGCTGCGCGTGAACTCGACCGTCACTGGAGTTCAATTCGACCATGCCGCGGTGCAATTGGCCAACGGCACTATTGTTAAAGGAGACATCGTGATCGCGGCTGACGGCATCAAGTCTGCCCTCCGTGATCACTTGCTGGAAGAAGCATCTGTCGCCATTCCTACGGGCGACGCAGCCTACCGGATTATGCTGCCTCGTAGTGCTCTAGAGAATGACCCTGAGCTAAAGGCACTGGTAGATGAGCCACAAGCCACTCGGTGGCTCGGACCTGGCCGTCATGTCATCGCTTATCCAGTGCGCAACCATGATTTGTACAATGTTGTCCTGCTTCATCCAGACAGCCATGGTGTCGAGGAGTCGTGGACGACCAAGGGTTCCAAGCAGGCCATGGTCGACAACTACAAGGGCTGGGACCGGCGTGTGACGAAGCTTATCGACCTGGTACCGGACGATGAAGTCCTGGAATGGAAGCTGTGCCTTCACGCTCCGCTGAAGACCTGGATTAGGGGTTCCGTGGCCCTCATCGGTGACGCCTGCCACCCAATGCTGTAAGCACCCTTCATTTTAGACATTCTGGCTAGCACTAACGTCTTCTAGGCCATATGTTGCTCAAGGTGCTGCCCAGGCCGTCGAAGACGCTGCTGCCCTCGGTGTCCTGCTCTCCACTATCTCTTCCCGGGATGAAATCCCTCTTGCACTCAAAGCGTACGAGAAGTCCCGCAAGCCTCGCGCAGACACCGTCCAGCAATCTGGGTCGGAGAACCGCATCACGCTCCACCTGCCCGATGGCCCGGAGCAACGCGCGCGTGACGAACAGTTCCGTTCTTCCCTGAAGAGCGGATCAAACCCCGACCGGTGGACAGACCTGGAAACCCAGAAGTTCCTCTGGGGCTGGGATGCTGAGAAGGCAGCTCTGGATGCATGGAATGGTAAGTTGCCATCGCCATTCACCTACCTATGGCAAGATATGCTAACAAAAACCAGAACTCCATGGCAACCACGTGTCCGAACTGCGGCACCACCTGTGATCTGTGATTTGCAATAATATCACATGCACATAAGAAATACGTTCCTTCTTCAACATGATTGGGATTGATTAACACTTTTAGCCCTGGCGTTCTCATCAACGTTTCATTAGCGATTATCATATACTTTTATGAATCACTGTACATACTTACCATCAGGCATATAGAATGCACATATGAACCTCTTTCTCTGCTTTGCTTTCTTTTTCTGAATTTTGAATTTATCATAACTGACGGACGATGTGAAGGGGTGCTGTCGTGCAGTTGCTAGGAATTTGTAATGGCTCATGACCTGTACGAGCTGACGTAGACAAGACAAAAAGCACAACTTATGGTGGATAGC